ACAGAGAAAAGCAGCGCGTAACATACTTCATGAGCTTGAGCATATGGACTGTAGAACAGGGTTTGGGAGAGATTATAAAAAGTCAAAATTTATTAAGCGCTACAAATGACTGGAAGTTGTGGAGAGCCATGATTGCCTACTGTATACGGCACATAAATAAGAAGAGTTTTCCAATAATAGAATTTGAAGTTATTCTGCCCTTTCTGTTTTTATTTTTAATTCTTCCGCGTTTTATGTCGGCAGGATTGTTTTCTCAACTGCCTCGCAGGAGAAGCAATTTTTTTTTCTTTGTAGAGAAATAAGTTTGTGATAGCGGCAAATGTTATTCCCACTTTGCTATGTCATGGATTAGCAATTAGTACATCCGAAACTGAAGGGAGGAAATGGGAGCCGGCTGTCAATATCTGTTCTCATGGAATCCCACTGGCATTATTATACGTCTATATCTGCACATATATTTTTTCCAGTTAAATCGAGCGGGAAATTCTGCACATACATCAATGGTATGATTCGTTTTTTATCTTTTCTCTCATTCTTTCTAGTCTTCCTCCTTCCCTTCTCTTTCGTTCTCCATCTCTCTCTTTCTCTCTCTCCATTTTGTTTCTTTCTTTATATCATTATCATCGTCTTTCTCCCATCATCTAACTTAGTGACGATTTCTCTCTCTCTCTCTCTCTCTCTCTATTACTGACTTACTTATCTTCTTGCTTCACGCTGACTGCCTTTCTTTATTACACTCTTTCTCTTACTTTCTCTCTGTCCTCACTCACTCCCTCCCTTTTTCTTCTTTACTTGTTCATCTTTTCTCCTTCGCCGTGTTACAACCTCTCTCTTACTTTCTTTCTCTCACTGTCTTTTTCCTTTTCTTCTTCAGTTATTCCTATTTCCGTCTTCTCGCTCTTTGTTTTTCTCCTTTTCCTTTTCTTCTCATTCTCTCTCTCTCTGTGTTTTTCTTCTTTTCCTTTTCCTTTCTCTCATTTTAGTTTGATTTACGTGTTACATTACAGTTTTATATTTACTAAATGTCTTTTTTTAAAAATTCTCTATCCTTTTGGAATGTAAGCGATTATGGTTCTCCACGGTTTCCTTTCTTTTTTGTTAATCTAAGTTATGTATTCTGATAGTTCTTGTATAAGGTAATGAACTGTTTCCTCGGAAATTATCCACGGTTTTAAAATGAGGAACTGTCGTTTTCTACCAAGGCTAAACAGTCTTGTCTACCACTACTATTTTACCAAGCTAATATTCGGGGAGAAAAGATGGATTCCTATCTTACCCGATTGGCACAGCATTAGTATATTTAGCTACCCCACCCCACGAGGGTTGCATGTGGCACAAGGCCGGTTTAATGTGGGTTCTCCGAGCCCGTAGGCTCAGCCAAAAATATTCCCTTTCCAACCCGTATAAACGGGTTCAGGGGCAGTCTACCTCCCCGAACGAGCCTCGTCCAGGTTGCTCTCTGTTCAGAGGCAGAGAGTTCGACTGTTTAGCTGGAACACGTCACAGCTAGAACAGCCTTAGTGTGAAGATAAAAGCCTTAGCTAGAATTTGAACGTGCCCAGCCGATTCTATTTTCCTGCCGTTGCATAACTACCTACACTTTCTCTACAATCTTTTGCACACATATAATATTTTAAAGGTTCATATATCTTCAACTACTGTAATTTCATTTGGTTCGAGTTTTACACTAAGGCATCTTATATATATATATATATATATATATATATATATATATATATATATATATATATATATATATATATATATATGTCATGGTCCTTACCTATAATTACAGAATGAACTCTTCCTAACACTATGTATACTACGCCTCTCAAGAGAGGGACGAATCAAGCCGATCTTTTCGACTTGATGGTCGAACTCTGCTTTTTCGAGCAGAAAAACCCGGACGAGGTTCCGCCGAAGGCAGAATCTCGTTCGGGGTGAATGACCTACCCTGATCTCGTTTTTACGAGTCATACGGGCATATTTTTGGCTGAGCCTACGGGCTCAGGAAACCCACGATAAAAATGACCTTGTGTCGCATGCAACCCTCGTGGGGGTGGCTAGATACTGAATCAAGCCGATCTTTTCGACTTGACGGTCGAACTCTCTTTTGAGCAGAAAGGAACCCGGACGAGTTCCGCCGAAGGGCAGAATCTCGTTCGGGGTGAATGACCTACCCTATCTCGTTTTTACGAGTTATACGGGCATATTTTTTGGCTGAGCCTACGGGCTCAGGGAAACCCACGATAAAATGACCTTGTGTCGCATGCAACCCTCGTGGGGGGTGGCTAGATACTGAATCAAGCCGATCTTTTCGACTTGACGGTCGAACTCTCTGCTTTTGAGCAGAAAGGAACCCGGACGAGGTTCCGCCGAAGGGCAGAATCTCGTTCGGGGTGAATGACCATACCCTGATCTCGTTTTACGAGTCATACGGGCATATTTTTGGCTGAGCCTACGGGCTCAGGAAACCCACGATAAAAATGACCTTGTGTCGCATGCAACCCTCGTGGGGGGGGGCTAGATACTGAATCAAGCCGATCTTTTCGACTTGACGGTCGAACTCTCTGCTTTTGAGCAGAAAGAACCCGGACGAGGTTCCGCCGAAGGGCAGAATCTCGTTCGGGGTGAATGACCTACCCTGATCTCGTTTTTACGAGTTATACGGAGCATAACTTTTGTTTTTTGGAAAGGAACCCGGACGGGTTCTCTCGTTCGGGGTGAATGCTCAAACCCGCAAAAATACCCGACGGAGTCATACGGCGGCATATTTTTCTGGCTGAGCCTACGGGCTCCAGAAAGGCACGATAAAAATGACCTTGTGTCGCATGCAACCCTCGTGGGGGTGGCTAGATACTGAATCAAGCCGAGCTTCTCGACTTGACGGTCGAACTCTGCTTTAGTGCAGAAAGGAACCCGGACGAGGTTCCGCCGAAGGGCAGAATCTCGTTCAGGGGTGAATGACCTACCCGATCTCGTTTTTACGAGTTATACGGGCATATTTTGGCTGAGCCTACGGGCTCAGGAAACCCACGATAAAAATGACCTTGTGTCGCATGCAACCCTCGGGGGGGCTAGATACTGAATCAAGCCAGAGCTTCTCGACTTGACGGTCGAATCTCTGCTTTTAGTGCAGAAAGGAACCCGGACGAGGTTCCGCCGAAGGGCATGGTTCGAATGACCCTTTTTGATCTCGTTTTTAGTTATACGGGCATATTTTTTGGCTGAGCCTACGGGCTCAGGAAACCCACGATAAAAATGACCTTGTGTCGCATGCAACCCTCGTGGGGGGTGGCTAGATACTGAATCAAGCCGATCTCGTCGAACTCTCTGCTTTTGAGAAAGGAACCCGGACGAGGTTCCGCCGAAGGCAGAATCTCGTTCGGGGAATGACCTACCCCATCTCGTTTTACGAGTTATATGGGCATTTTTTTGGCTGAGCCTACGGGCTCAGGAAACCCACGATAAAAATGACCTTGTGTCGCATGCAACCCTCGTGGGGGGTGGCTAGATACTGAATCAAGCCGAGCTTCTCGGCTTGACGGTCGAACTCTCTGCTTTTTAGCAGAAAGGAACCCGGACGAGGTTCCGCCGAAGGGCAGAATCTCGTTCGGGGTGAATGACCCTACCCGATCTCGTTTTTACGAGTTATACGGGCATATTTTTGGCTGAGCCTACGGGCTCAGGGAAACCCACGATAAAAATGACCTTGTGTCGCATGCAACCCTCGTGGGGGGTGGCTAGAATACTGAATCAAGCCGATCTTTTCGACTTGACGGTCGAACTCTCTGCTTTTTTGAGCAGAAAGGAACCCGGACGAGGTTCCGCCGAAGGCAGAATCTCGTTCGGGGTGAATGACCTACCCTGATCTCGTTTTTACGAGTCATACGGGCATATTTTTGGCTGAGCCTACGGGCTCAGGAAACCCACGATAAAAATGACCTTGTGTCGCATGCAACCCTCGTGGGGGGGGTGGCTAGATACTGAATCAAGCCGAGCTTTTCGACTTGACGGTTGAACTCTCTGCTTTTGAGCAGAAAGGAACCCGACGAGGTTCCGCCGAAGGGCAGAATCTCGTTCGGGGAAAATGACCCACCCTGATCTCGTTTTTTACGAGTCATACGGGCATATTTTTGGCTGAGCCTACGGGCCCAGGAAACCCACGATAAAAAATGACCTTGTGTCGCATGCAACCCTCGTGGGGGGGTGGATACTGAATCAAGCCGATCTTTTCGACTTGACGGTCGAACTCTCTGCTTTTGAGCAGAAAGGAACCCGGACGAGGTTCCGCCGAAGGGCAGAATCTCGTTCGGGGTGAATGACCTAACCTGATCTCGTTTTTACGAGTTATACGGGCATATTTTTGGCTGAGCCTACGGCTCAGGAAACCCACGATAAAAATGACCTTGTGTCGCATGCAACCCTCGTGGGGGGTGGCTAGATACTGAATCAAGCCGATCTTTTCGACTTGACGGTCGAACTCTGCTTTTCAGCAGAAAGGAACCCGGACGAGGTTCCGCCGAAGGGCAGAATCTTGTTCGGGGTGAATGACCTACCCTATCTCGTTTTTACGAGTCATACGGGCATATTTTTGGCTGAGCCTACGGGCTCAGGAAACCCACGATAAAAATGACCTTGTGTCGCATGCAACCCTCGTGGGGGTGGCTAGATACTGAATCAAGCCGAGCTTCTCCCACTTGACGGTCGAACTCTCTGCATTTGAGCAGAAAGGAACCCGGACGAGGTTCCGCCGAAGGGCAGAATCTCGTTCGGGGTGAATGACCTACCCGATCTCGTTTTTACGAGTCATACGGGCATATTTTTTGGCTGAGCCTACGGGCTCAGGAAACCCACGATAAAAATGACCTTGTGTCGCATGCAACCCTCGTGGGGGTGGCTAGATACCGAATCAAGCCGAGCTTCTCCGCTTGACGGTCGAACTCTCTGCATTTGGTCGAACTCCCTGACTTTTCCGCCGCAGAAAATGAACCCTCGTTTTACGAGTTATACGGGTTATTTTTGCCGAACGGGCAGAAAAATGACTCGTTCGGGGGGGTGGCTAATACCGAATCAAGCCGACCTGATCTCGTTTTTTTTGACGAAAGGGAACCCGGACGAGGTTCCGCCGATATTTTGGCTGAGCCTACGGGCATATTTTTGGCTGAGCCTACGGCTCAGAAACCCACGATAAAAATGACCTTGTGTCGCATGCAACCCTCGTGGGGGGGGCTAGATACTGAATCAAGCCGAGCTACTCGACTTGACGGTCGAACTTTCTGCCTCTGAGCAGAAAGGATCCCAGACGAGGTTCCGCCGAAGGGCAGAATCTCGTTCGGGGTGAATGACCCACCGATCTCGTTTTTACGAGTCATACGGGCATATTTTTGGCTGAGCCTACGGGCTCAGGAAACCCACGATAAAAAATGACCTTGTGTCATGCAACCCTCGTGGGGGGGCTAGATACTGAATCAAGCCGAGCTACTCGACTTGACGGTCGAACTTTCTGCCTCTGAGCAGAAAGGATCCCGGACGAGGTTCCGCCGAAGGGCAGAGTCTCGTTCGGGGAGGTTGACCAACCCGATCCCGTTTATACGGGTTCTACGGGCATTTTTTTGGCCGAGCCTACGGGCTCGGTAAACACACGTTAAACTCGGCCTTGTGCCACATGCAACCCTCGTGGGCGGGTGGCTAGATTTATATGTTTTTGAAAAGAAAATGGCTGGAAACGGTTGTCGCATAATGGTTATTGCCATGAAAGACAGAACCTAGTTCGAATTGATGTCGAGAATTTTCGTTCTTCTAATAATAAAAAAAACATTATTTCATCTCTCTTCTTCTTCTCACTCTTTCTTATCGTCGAAATTTTTTTTTTACTAAATCATTTTTACTGGCATGTCACCAATTGTCGCATCACGGATCATAAATAGTCATTCCATATAATTCGTATGTTTCTATAACACCGTTCGATCACTGAAGTTAAGCAACGTCAAGCCTGGTCAGTACCTAGATGGGTGACCACTTGGGTTAGGTGCTGCAGTCTTGTATATGCGGTTGGTGTAATGGATAACGAGTCGGAATTGTTAATCGTAGAACCGGGTTCCAATCCCATTCGTGTTCGTTATATTCACTTACAGCAACTGTAGAAATATCCCCTTCCCCACCCATCACCTATGCTTTATTTAGTAGAACTTGTATCATTGAATAATTATCTCCCCAAAATCCCTCCAATCTAAAAATATTTTCTGGCTTTAAATAACCTGCAGCAGGGTTGCTAAGTCTTAAAAAATATCAATTTATGACATTACATGGCGGTTGAAAAATGTTTTTGTAGACTCCCCAACACGTACCCACAACGTCACATTGTAACGAGTTTTAAATAACAAATCTATAACTAAAGAATTTTGGGGATATTTAACGAATCTCGGGGGAAAATCATCGAATATACTTAAAACTGCTGAATTTAATCAGTGTAGAACAGTGAATTAATTTTAAATCAAAAGCAAATAGAATGAAAACAATGTCCCCAAGAGTACATCAGCGAAATATTCCGGCATTCGAAAAGAAAATATTTGAATTCAAAAGGAACTTAAAATTACACAGCACAATGAGTCCACTTGTGTACCACCGGAAACATTACACTGGTCAACAGCCAATTTTTATCGGGAATGTTTTGTGCTGTATTATATGTAATTTTGTATTATATGTATTATATTATATTGTATTATATTATATTGTATTATATATTATATGTATTATATTACATTATAGTGTATTATATATTATATGTATTATAGTGTATTATATTATATGTATCATAATATATTATATTGTGTTATATGTATTATATTATATTGTATTATATCATATTATATGTATCATAAAATATTGTATTGTATTGTATTATATTATATTATAATATATTATATTATATGTATTACATGTAATGTAATTGGATTTATTCCATCAGGCGCAGTTTCTCTGATGGGATGAGGTGCGCAAAAACCTGCGGTCATCCGCATCGCCACCCGTAAAAGTCTTTTACAGGTAATTACTGATTTCTATCTTATTACTAATCATGTCTATTATGTAATCTTATGAATTATTGACAACTTTTATGGTTTAGTTATGCATTTTTCACAAAATATCCCATTAGCCATATTTCTCCATAAATTTTACTTTTTCTTTTCAGTTGTCCGATACTCGTCACCCGTCCAGTCAAGTCCAGTGTCCAATCATCATCATCATCATCATCATCATCATCATCATCATCATCATCATCATCATCATCATTACCATCATCATCATCATCATCAGCAGCAGCAGCAACATCATCAAGCAACGTATCATCACAACTGAAATTAAGAAGATCTATCAATTGTATCATGGATGCCCCTCTCGAGGATCAGAATAAATGGTGGTTGTCACCTAAGCATGTTCCATTTGATTAAGGGATTGGCTTAATAAAACGAAGAGAGCAATGCCGTTTGTAGTAACTATTATATATTATATATATATGGAAAGAACCAAAGGGCCATTTCAAAGACTCTTATTTCTGCATTCTAAAGTCTGTTGCTTAACCATTAGGACCAAATATAAGATTGTGTCTCCCAACATAGACTCGTCAAGAAGACTAGTAGCACACAATGATTATGACCTTCCTGTTCAAGTACCACCGGTGAATGATCTTCAAATGGCTGATGAAGAGGTACTTTGTGAAGAAAGTAGTAGTAGTGTGAAAAAAACCTCGTCGCCAGTCTAATACTGATAATAATATAATAAACAAGGACGAATGACCAGATATGAAAGTCGATTGAGGCAAAAAGCAAAGAACGATCTGGAAAAAGGCAATATAGCTGAGAACGGTGAAACCGTAAATTAAAGATAAATAGATGTTTTTAATTTTAATACACATAGATGCTAATTATAAAAATAATTTTTGCTAATTATAAAAATAATTTTTGCTAAAATGACACTTTATTTCAAAATGTCCTCTTTCGGCAGTAAAATTCGAATCGTCGAGAGACTGAGTAGCGGACATTCAATAAATATAATGAAAATTAAATTTCGCATAATTTCATGAAATGCTTTAGTGGACGTCCATGATTTATTTATACTTAATTATGAATGTCTCCCTCTATCTTTCCTAGAGTGGGGCTAATTTTTTTTTGGGGGGGGGTCGACCCCCTTCCGAAAATCTGAGCAAAGAAACAAACATTAAATTTATTTTTCGAATGGGCTTCTTGGCCGAGCTGTGACATTTTTAACAGCTCCTTGTATAAACAAAGTGAGTATATGTTTTTTTAAATAAAATGTATATATATATATATATATATATATATATATATATGCACATTCTCTCCTGATTACCCCAATTTAAAATTCGAGAGGAACACATCAAATTCAATGAAATCAAAAGCCATAGTGAAACTCGGTGGAAGTGTCATTGGCATGAGGAGCATTACACATTCAGCTCGCTTCAGGTGAGTTTCAATTACTTTCCAGTAATATCCTTCTATATATAATAAAATATATATATATATATCATATATATCTATATATATATATATATATATATATATATATATATATATATATATGAAAAATATAAAAAAACAAACAAAAATCCTTATATACAATTATGCTGTTTTAATGTTAATATATCAACGTCGGACGTTTCGGTCTAATAAACCATCTTCAGGACATATTCATAAATTATAACATTATCAATACAACATGACAAAGACGATGTACATAAGAACAAGACTTATCCAACGTCCGACGTTGTCATATTAACATTAAAACAGCATAATTGTATATAAGGATTTTTTGTTTGTTTTTCCGTATATATTTTTCTTCATACTGTCGGATTTATATCCATATATTTGCTTATATATATATATATATATATATATATATATATATATATATATATATATATATATATATATATATACACTCTTATCGTGAACGATAAATAAGGGCAGCATTGGATGGTGCATTTCGTTTTACACTTGCATGCTAACAGGGGCTATTGTGGAGAAAATCATGTAAGGGAAAGAAATATTTCATTTGTGCTTTCTTAAGTGTGATACTAGCTCAGCCTTGCTGTGGGTGATATATATATATTAAAAAGAAGAGAGATGCCGCAAAAGTTTTCGGTTGTAATGTGGATTTTTAAATATATATTATACTTTATTTTCCATATAATAAAGAAAAATAATAAAAATAAGATTATGAATAAAAATAAAGCGTAATATATATTTTAAAAATCCACATTATAATCAAAAACTTTTGCGGCTTCTCGCTTCTCTTTAAAATATACACTTTTCTCTCGTTGGAACAACTATAACCTCTCCATTTCATATATATATATATATATATATATATATATATATATATATATATGTGTGTGTGTGTGTGTGTGTGTGTGTGTGTGTGTGTGTGTGTGTGTGTGTGTGTGTGTGTGTGTGTGTGAAGGTAAAGACAGACATTTGGGAAAAGGCAAGGGGGGAGCATATTGTTTGCTTAGTTCACGAGAGAAAGGGTAAAATTATTTTTGTCTACTCGCTTTTCAAGAATATTTATTTCGTATTTATTCGCTTCCATTTTCCTCGCCAGCTTGTCTAAATTTAAAGCCTTATCCATGTCTTTAATCCTGACCCCACCAAACGAGAGTGAAAAAGAAAGAAAAAAAAAGAAATCTGCAGCCTTACCATTAAGCCTATTTGCTTTTATAGTTTTAATACATGCCTGCCCGAACATGATTTACCCGACCTTCCCGTCCAAACACTTACTTCCGGTCTGCCATGCACAACCGGATTTGACAGTGTCATATACTCGTTCTAGATTGGTTAATGTTTAGAACATTTCGGTGGGAACTTCTCGAGGCCATCAACGTCCGTCTTTTCTCACAGACTTGGGTTCCTTAAGATCTCTGAGTCACGACTTTGAATCTTAATCCGTTTGCAGTGAATCGGTTGGTCTGATTGAGAAGCTGAAGATAAAAGGAGAGTCTGGTTCGTCAGTGCAGCCAAAGGCTGGTCGGGATGAACGGTCAGAGACTTTTGTCATACTCTAATGCTGATAAATGAGATGTTGAGTCATTACTAAGCGAAACAATACAGTCAGTGTCAGTGTATAAAAAAAAAATACATATTTATTTAGCTTAGTTTAATTTGGTGCAAGGACAAAATGAATAAACAAAGTGGCAAGATGGCGCTGATCGTCTCTATTGGTCCGTTATTTAAAAAAAAAATGGGAAACTTTTCTGAGTAATTTTGTTATGATTAGCACTCATTAGACCATTCACTATTCACAAGGTTTATCAGAATCAAAAAAAAAAATATTGACTTTATAGATAAGGGCCCTATTTATGATATGATTACAGTGTCAAATCGATCCCTAATTTTAAAAAATAGTTATGTATACCTCGTTTTTTCACTGATTTCCGTACGATTACCGAAGTTGTGCAACGTCGAGCCTGGCCAGTATCTGGATGGGTGACCGCTTGGGAATACCAAGTGTTGTAACTTCCGATGAGCGGGTGATCTCTTAAAACATGGCTCGGATTTGTTAATCAGAGAGGCGACTTCTAATTCCAGTTGGGTTCGTTATATTCACTTACACGCAATGGTACCCTTAGGAAAGATAGAAATCCATCTTGTCTCACCCAGCTATGGGTTAATTAGTAAGACTGCACTAAAACAATATTATCTCGAAAAAATTCTTACAATCTAAAAATATTTTCTAGCTTTAAATAACCTGCAAACCATAGAAAAAACCAATCAATTAATCAATCAATATAGCTCGTTTTTATTTACAAATGTTAGATTTGAAACTAGGAACACGTCATTGATAACAGTGTACTACTAATGTGGTCTTTTCGGCAATTAAAGATTATTCTCATTTTTAAATCATTTTTCGAGAAACAGATTAGTGTATTTTACATTTTGCTTTTACAGAGGCGTTTCCCCAAGTCAAGGGAGATAATAAATATTTTTCTTCAATGCAGACCTCTAATGCATGCTCCAATTTATGAAATTAAAAAAAAAAAAACATGTGTATTCAAATAAAAAATGCTTCGCCATAATATATTTATTAAGAATTGGGCGAAGAAAAACTTTAATGGGGATCGATTTGACATTATTTATATTATGATCATGGCACACTTCTGAAAAGATAAAAAGAAAAATCAGTATTTTCGATTGGAGCAGTATTGCTGTATATTAGATGAGTATCCACTTAAAGTAACGTTTTAGTAATAATAATAATAATAATAATAATAATAATAATAATATATATATATATATATATATATTTATATATATATATATATATATATATATATATATATATATATATATATATATATATATATAGTATTACACAACAAAATCCAAAATGACTTCATATGGTGTGATAGATCTATTTGAACCTACGAAAACTTTCGTCAGTCTTATTCAACCCTGGTGTATAGACTGAGTTCGTTTTGAAATTTCGTTCTGACACCAACTCTGTCATTTTGGACTTTGTTGTGTAATAATATTTATTGGCTCTGTTATAATAAATACATTGTGCTCTTTTGTGGATCAGTTTTAATATTTTATATTACTAAGATCCACTTGGATTGTATACCAATGGATTTATTACCTTTATATATATATATATATATATATATATATATATATATATATACATCATTCGGGATAATTAGGCTACAGCAGTTTGATCCAATTTCGTCATGTCCTGATTATTGGAAGCCACATATCAACAATTTAAATGGGTGCCGTTTCTGTTTTAGTAGAATATACCTATTGTCGGGATCAGAAAGGATCTTGCCCGTTTAAAAATTTATTCTTAAACTAAATTTCCAATAAATTCTGTAAATTTCTCAACCCAAAATCTATTAAAAAAAAAAAGTGCTATTTATCGACTCCCCATAATTAAATGCTGTTAACAAATTCAGATGCAGATCTATTAAAGACAATAAACTGCCTTCCTTACCTTCTTGAATAAAATAACATCATAATTCATGTTTTATTGCTTTCCACACAATATTTTAATGGTTTCAATTTAGTATTTAATTAATAACACATATACTTGTATCTACATTGCGTGCCAAATTATTCGAGATAACTTTTTTTTATAATATTTCAAAAACCGTCCAATCAATTCACACAAAATTTTCACACAATGTTGGCAACACTGAGCTGCGTAATCACTGCGCAATGTAAACCAACTGGCGCCATATTTGTTATCAGCAAGGTGAGTTGAGCGTGCCAAATTATTAGAAAAGTGTAAGAATTTAGATGGGCCATAAAAGCAGTTTAAGTAATGCTAAAAAGAAAACTATCACCTCAGAACTCTCAAAAGGTAAATCTACCCTAGAAATTTCTAAAATGATAGGGAGGTGTCATCATACAGCGAAAAAGTTCACCGCCGACCCTACACAAGTACGCAAAAGAGCAGATAAAGGCAAGCCAAGGGTTATTTCACGTCGTCTCATGTCACGACTTAAACGAGAGGCCACGAAGAACCCTGGACTTACCAGTCAAGAGCTTTTCAGTCGCATTGGGGATCCTACTGTGTCTAAAAGTACTCGGTGTCGGTATCTGAGGTAAATAGCAACAACAGTCAAACCTGTATCGAAGCCTCCGTTGACGAGAAATCACATTCAAAATCGATTGAAATGGGCCGAGGACAATATGAAGATTGACTTCTCTAAAGTTTTGTTCACAGACGAAACTCAAGCAACACTTGATGGGCCAGATAGATGGTGCAAAGGCTGGGTAATGAACGGACAGAATCGCCATCAGTGTTTGAGACGTCAACAAGGCGGTGGAGGCATAATGATCTGGGGTGGTATTATTGGAAAAACATTAGTGGGTCCATGGAGTATACCAGATGGCGTCAAAATGACTGCTGATGCATACATAGCGTTTATGAAGGAGCATCTTGAACCGTGGATGAAAAGGCAAAGAGTTGCCTTCAGAAGGGCCATTGTTTTTATGCAAGATAATGCTCCCTCACATGCTGCTCATAAGACTACTGAATATTTGAAACAGTTAGGCTTCGATGGACCTCGAAAAATAAAGTGGCCAGCAAATTCTCCGGATTTGAACCCAATCGAAAACCTTTGGAGCATCATGAAGCGAAGAATGTACGCCAACGGACGACAATTCAGGAGCAACGCTGAGTTGTGGGAAGCAATTCTTGACATATCTCGTGGCATTACAGCAGATGACATCCTACAATTAACAAATTATATGGATCGTCGACTTCTTCAAGTAATTTCAAAACAGGGAAAGCACATTCCATATGAATTTGTTTAAAACTGTGCCTTTGTATCTGTTATTATTTGTTTGATTATCTTATTTATTAGCTTGTTTTATCATAAACATTCACGTGCAACATTAATAAACGTTTTGTGTGCTCAATTATGGGATTTTTACTAAACCTTTCTAATAATTTGGCACGCTCAAATCACTGTACTGATAACAAATATGGCGCCAGTTTGTTTACATTGCGCAGATCAGGTCGAAAATTTCAGCGATTGCGCAGGCCAGTGTTGCCAACATTGGGTGAAAATTGATTGGACGGTTTTTGAAATATTATAAAAAAGTTATCTCGATAATAATTTGGCACGCAGTGTATACTTTAAAAGATTTTCGATTAACTGATTTATCAAAGCATTGAGCGTGTCAACAAAGACAAGCGGTTTGGTGGTCTAAATTTGTCAGCTTGCAATGAGAAAATATTAGAATTTTTATTACCAAATCTATTTTCTTTACAGAATTGATTGATTTTGTTTTTTACGGCTTATCAACCCTTTGCAGGTTATTTAAAACCAGAAAATATTTTTAGATTGTAAGAATTCTTTTGGGGCGTTGTTAGATAATAATGATTTTGAGATACAATACTTACTAATTAACCCATATCTGAGGGGAGAAGAGGTGGATTCATACTTAATCAGAATTTGAGAACCAAACAAGAAATTATAATGTGGATATAAAGTTGAGGATCAATTTATTGTTATAAAGAATATATAAACAGATCCCACACTTTATTGCTACGGTAGTTTGTATATATTTATATTCCAGAGAATTTAAATAAATCTAAAAGACATGCCTGTGTAGCTAATCAGTATTTCATCAGAGGGGAGAAGAGGTGGACTGATGCTTTGCCCCACTTTATTTGCGCGTAAATGAATATATCTAACCCAACTTGAATTTGAACTAGGCTCTACGATTAACAGTTCTGTACCATTATCCATTCCACTGTACTTACTGACCAGTCACATAACTTTGGGGATCGTACGGGAACCGGTGTTACAATGACTTCCGGCCGTAAACCTTCTTTTCTAAATTAATATAAAGAAAGCAAAATCTTATAAAATATACAAATGGGAAAAAAATTTTAACACTACTACTACTACTACTAATAATAATAATAATGAAGAAGAAGAAGGAGAAACTATTGATTTATTGTTGAGTTGTTATACTCAAAAATGTGTAATGATAATTCTCTATATGAAAAAGAAAGAAAAAATACAAATTTATTCGGTAACTTTTCGTAATTTTTAAAACTTTTATATTAATAATAAATGACAGAATCCACTGAGTTGAGTTGTCCTGTATTTTAAATTTCTTTTGGGTTAATTTCAGTTGATTTTTATAGCAACGATTCAGACATCCGGTTTACGCCCATCAGCAAGATG